CTGGAACCATCATTGGTTACAAAGAGCCACCATTGGGCATCTCTGGGTCTCCACAATTTGTGCAGAGTACACAAAATATAATCCTGGGAGAAGCCACCTTGGTGGATGTGGTTCCTGTGTAGAAGGTGCCTTGTTGACAGTAGACATCAGCTTTTTCTTTCTCCCCAGGGTTATTCATTTTTTGTGCTTCTTCCACAATATGAGAGACAGGATCTCAAAACGTAGACCCTGTTCTCTCTATAGCTGCTCACAGGAATGACAACAAATCCTTCATTTTTGAGTTTTTTCCAGATTCAAAAATATCAATTTTCCACTAGTATGGAAATATGTAAATCAATGGATCTGTAACTGATGTGATTCTGCAATCTGTATACGGGGTAAAAATGGGAGTTCATAACCCACTTGAATCAAAGTGTGAAATATGATATATCAAGAACTATGTAATGTTTTGAACAACCAACAATAAAAATTAAAAAATATATATCAGTTTTCCTTTTGCAATTCATAGGATTATTAATATTTTTACCCATGCAATATTTGAAACTGACAAAGTATTTTAATTGTCATATACCCCTAAGTAGTGGATGATGCTTTTGAAAATGCTTGTTTTTAGGAGGTTAATATTTCACATTGGTGGAGAGCAAATTATTACCAGACTCTTTTCAAAACCTTAGTGCCTTCTTTTTTCTTCCTTAGACACAGTCACCTTATCACCATATTTTTGACAAGTGTTGTGGTTTATATCTGGGATGTCTCCAAAATCTCACATGTTGAAACATGGTGCCCAGTTGCATCAAGGTAGAGAGATGGGCTTTTGGGCCATGATTGGATTATGAGGGTTCTGACTTTTGTGGACTAGCCCATTAACAACTGAATAGACTGGGAGGGGAACTAGTTGGAGGAGGTGGGTCATTGGAGCAGCCCTGACCAGGATCATCTTCTCCCAGCACCTTCCTTCTTCTCTGCTGCCTGGCTGCCATGAGCTGAACAGCTTTTCTCCATGCTCTTCTTCCATGATGTTTCTGTCTTGGAGTGAGACTACCATGGCCTGAGTGCTCTGAAACTGTGACTGAAATAAATGTTTCCACTTCTAAGTTGTGACTTTTAGCTATTTATGTCACAGAAATGAAAAGTTCAGTACAAACGTTATTAGGTGTCATGTTCTTACTCAGTTTTTCCATGGTGCTGGATTTCAGAACTATCTGGGTATGACACTTGGTATCCACAGGGGTATTTCTCTTAGAATGTCTGTAGACCATCAGACTCCTGATTATCTCTTCCCAGAGGGAAGAGATTGGAGTGGAGACTTGGGGGAAAACTGGTTGACTTGGGGTTTAGCGGCATCTCATTTTTTCTATTTTGTCTATATCTGTAACCCCTTGGAACTTGATTGTGTTTGCCATAACCTTCATTGCATGAAGATTTTGTTGGCCTACAAATTGGATCATAGTGTTGAAGGGGAAACACAAATTATTCTCCTTTCTGTATTTTCTCTGAGTTGTGAATACAAGGAGAATATCTCAGAGTTCAAAGAATACCCACACACTTCAGGGTGTATAAGAATCCACAGTGTACTTCAGTGTGTAAGAATAGGAATGGGAGAATGTCCAAAATGTCAGGCTGTCTTGACTTTAACCTTGGGTCTGACATGTCTATATTACAGTCAGCTTTGCAATTCCTGGGCTCATCACCTTCAAAAGATTTCTTACTTCAGCTTCAACTTTTCCCTAGCTTTAAAATGTATTTTATTAGTAGAGTTTCGAACAAGAGAAAATATATTCAAAGCCACAGGATACAGTTGGATTTTAGAAAAGGAATTCAGCCTTATGTTATTTTAATTAAATGTTTTATTTGCCTTTCTTCTTCTCCCAAAGTGTTCTTTGTGGGTTTCTCATGTGCAAGAAGAGAAGGGGCTGCTCCTCCCAGCAGCCATCTTTATTATCTCACAAGTTACCTAGCCCGCCATTACCGTGACCACATTGTAACTTAGTATTCCTTTAACCACGAGTGCTAGCTAACTGAGCTAAGGTCTAGGTTAATACAGTCACAGAGCCCTTTTCTCCAAGAACATCACTATAGAAACTAGATAGTGCGCCTGCATAGTTATCTTAGTAGTTTCAAGGGGAAACTGCTGGGCATTCCAAGTGTGGGAAACAGTTTCCTCGTGAAGAACACTCAGCCAGGCATCCTGTGCTTTTGCACAGGAGTTTCCTAGTAGCTAGGCATTCCTAGCACAGAAACTTCCTAGCAGCCAAGCATTTTGTGTCTTTGCACACAAACTACCCAATCACCAAGCATGCCACAATCATGAAGTTTGTCAGAGACCCCAATCCCAAACACAGAACTCTTACATATTTTTTGAAAAAAATGGTTGCTTTTGCTATTCCTCTTGAGGTATGAATGTAAGTGCTTTATACATTTGTTGCCTCCTGTAGACATAAACACTGAGTTTGGCCAGCATGGTGGGTGGTACATGCCTGAGATGCCAGCTACTCAGGAGGCTAGTGCAGGAGGATTTTATGTTTGAGATCAGCCTTCACAAATTAGGGACACCATGTCTTAAAATAAAAAATAAAATGGGCTATGGATGTTGCTCAGTGGTAAATCTATATATAGTCCCTGGATTCAATCCCTACTGCAAAACAAAATCCCACTGAGTGTGAATACTTTTTCCAATTGAGTTGTGGGTCCTTTCTCATTCAAAACTAAATGAGTAAAATTGGGAAGCAGAGAGGTCAAAGCTCAGTGACGTGTTATTAAGTAAATCTTGAGCCTACAAAAGAAGGTCCTTGGGAACCATGTTTTTTGTTTCTTGAGACTCATGTTTTCCAGATATGGGTTTGAATTGTAGGCAGTCACTTCTGAGAAGGAAGCCTAGAGAAGGAGGAGGAAGATGTAGTTGGTTTCCAGGTGTGTAGCCCAGGTAAGGGATGGCTTTGCATTTTCCTTTTAAACTACCTTATATTTGGAATGGGTAGACCTTTATATTTCTACATTTCAGGTTTGTGCTTTACATGTTTTAGCCACTGTGCTTTCTTTTCTTCTTAGAATAGTCAACTGTAACTCTTTAAATATATATGCCCAGATATACCCCCTAGGCTGAGGCCTTTGTTCTTACACTTTCACCTAAACCAGGCCAGGCATATATGACCTGCAGGATTGACAGGATTTGATAAATGGATATCAGAATGTTTTGGGGTCCTAGATTCCCACTGGGGATGTATGTATGAGTCATTAGATATTGCTGAAGAAGTGTACCATGCTTTGTTTATGTTCCATCTGGATGCTCCATCATCTATAAATGCACAAGAGTTAATGAAACGCTCATTCATTATCCCTTAGTACATCCTGAAAGAACAGATTAATTAGAAGAGACTCAATCACTAGAATGCCAAGGAAAGTCTACTGAAATACCCTATTATATCATTTAGTTTTTATTTGGCCACTAATGATGTGTCCTTTTATGTCAATTGGCACATGGTAACAATTTATTCTATTATAGCTATTTTATCCTTATTTGCTTTGTATAAATGCTATCTGCCAGATTTTCCCCATACAGTAATTTTTGTCTCTTTGTCTTCATGTGTAGTGATAGACTTTTTCTTAATAATCTACATAAACCATCATATTTGATACAGAAACTCTACTTTCTTAGTAATTTTTCTTTGTGTTTTGCTTTGGGGAATGCAGCCTCTGCCTTTGGTTTACCAGGGATACTTTATTGCTGGAGGTTCTGAAGTAGACCACAGGCTTTCATTTTATTCCACCTGCAGCTCACAGACATGCACCTCATAATCTCCTTGCATTTTCCATAAGTGGAAAAAATTATATCTTTCCAAGTGCCTGAAAATTATAAAGTACCTCAAAATAAATTTTGATTCACAGGGAAAAAATGAACAGTGTGGATCTTATTTTATTCTCTATCCTTACATATGTGTATCTCAATAGTGTCTTTTAAAATAGCATCCACCCCAAATTGATTTATATTTCATAAGTAACTTATTTTCATTTGCGTGAAAAATTGTCTATTGGTTCAGTGTATAAAGTTGACATTTCTATGTGTCTCTACATGAAACTTAAATATCATTTGATCAATCTGATCTTGTTTCTTCTTAACATGTTTGCATTACTCTTCTCATTTATGATCATTGCCTTACTCTGAAAATTCTTTTAACATTCCCATTTCATCTCGACTTTAATGTTCCCCCGCATTTTTTTTTTCTGAATTGCAACTCAAATAAACTTGGGTAAAAATCAGGATCTACCATTTTTTACCAGGGTTTGGCAAATGTCATAAAAGATTGATACAATTACTGCCATCACATTCTTCTGGTTATCTGCATTAAGACATGGAAAATATTTAGAGTGAGATCGAATATATTTGAAATGTTCAAAAAGGATTGTCATTGATAGTTGTTATTTTAATAAAGTACATAAATCTCTCAAAATACTTGAACTCAGATCCTTCAATGTTTTTTTCTTATAGTGGTCTACCTCACTGCTATTGAAGAGTTTCTCTTAGACCACTGGCACTAGGATCACTAAATTGGAATCATTGCTACATATTCAGAAAACCATGTCCAATCTCACACCCACTGAACTAGGGTCTGTATTTTAGTAAATCGCTGATTTGTGGCTGTGCATTTAAAATTTGAGAACCATCCTTCTTACTCATTATAACTTTCTCTTCTGAGAAATAGATGATTTATCTTATTCTATATAAATTGGAATTAAAGTGTATAGTACTATAATATAATGCCTTAATTTTACTTTTTATGTAATTGTAGTATATATACTTTTTTCAAACTTATGACATTCTTTCCTCTGAGTTAGATAATAGAGAATATCACTGTGTTTCAAAGTATTTTCCTGAATAATTAAAGTGACTCACTTATTTGAGAGCCAGGTCTGCTAACTCTCATTTCATCTTCAGTCAGCTTACAAGCTCTGTGAATTATCAAGTGGTCAATGTGCTGTTAACTGACCTATTCTTATTTTAGGAACTGTTGACATTCAGGGACGTGGCCATTGATTTCTCTGAAGAGGAATGGGAATGCCTGGAGCCTGCTCAGCGGAATTTATACAGAGATGTGATGCTGGAGACCTACAGAAACCTGGTCTTCCTGGGTGAGCAGAGCTTCTCTTCAGAATTCCTAATTAATCAGAATTCCTAATTGTACAATTTCCTTCCCTTGATGAATATCTATTGGACACTTCTGCTCTTCATGAATGAGTCTCAGATTCTTGCTTTCAAGATGAAGAAAGGCTTGGGCAGTTTTTGTTACAGAGAAGAAAATGTTACTGCCATTTCTTTCAGTCCTTCATTTCTCCCTTTCTTGGGTTGATATATACCCTTCACTTTAGATTAGTGGTACTTACAGTAATTCAGTGATATGGAATGATGTGACCTACATGTCGAAGTCTAATTTATTCCCTTTATAGTACCAGAATAGAAGCATCAGTAGTCACAGGGAGAATACCAACAAGTAATCATTTCATTTTCCAATGAACACATCTTATTATCTAGATAGTATTTGAGCACCTTCCTCTGGAGCAAAGGAGAGAGCCCTGAGTCATGTACCCAGATGGATAGAAATTCATGAATCAGATGATGTAGGTGAGAGGCCCAAAGATCAAGGAAGAAACCAAACTTCCAAATGTTGGTGGAAAAATTATCATGCCACAGAAATGGTTTTCCAGAAGCTTAAGTTTATTTCCTTTGCTGTCCTAGAAGGACAGGTAATGCCCTATGTTTAGCATGTATTCAACTTCTTTAGTCTCCTCCTTCTTCTGTGGTGATATTCCAGTACATTCAAATTAACAACCCAAACACTTTTCCTTGTGAGGGTGAGTGTGATTTGACAGCATTTCCACTATTGGGGGTGTCTCAAAAATCTGCACATTCATGGAGAACACTAGGTGAAGGCATTGTAATATATTAGTGTCATAAAGCAGTTTCTTTAATATAACTTATATACTTATTCATTGAAATACCCTGTCACAGCCTCATCTGACTCACATGTGGAAACCAAAAGTGCAGAGTAAGATGGTTACCAGCTACTGCTGTGTTTTGGAGAATGTTGGCCAAAGTCTGCAAAATATTATTTTAATGGGTATCAGAAAGTCAAAAGTTGTATTGTACTACATAGTGAGTATCATGTATTATATTCTTTTTTGGGAGAGTTACCAAGTATTGAACCCCAAAGCACTACTGAGCCACGTCCCCAGCCCTCTTATATTTTTCAGTTTGAAATGGGGTCTTTCTAACTTGCTTATGGCCTTACTCTATTATTGCAGATGGTTTGAAACTTGAGATCCTCCTACCTCAGCCTCCTGAGTTGTGGGAATTCCAGGCTTGTGTCACTATACCAGCTAATGTACTGTATTCTTGACAAAGGGTTATAGAATGAATGCAGTGTTTTGTAAGCAGTAACATGATAATTATATGAAATAATTATTTTAAATTATTTTTAAAATAATTTAAAAATACCATGAAATATTTAGTAAATAAATGACATTGAATTTGTTATTGAAGTGAATCAGTAAATGAACAAAATTATAAAAATTAAATCAAGTCATTTGTCTTGATCACCATGTAGTAAATTTATCCAGGTAACACTGACATTGTGTGTGTGTGTGTGTGTTTACCATTACAAAGGTTTGTCTAAATCTCTAATGAGAGATCAGAGGCTCTTTACCCTCTTTTGAATATTTGTGTTATTGTTATCCAAAATCTCTCTTACATCCAGGTCTGTGTCATGATAACAGAAAGTGGTTTTCAGACAATTCCAAAAAAAGCCAGAACTGTTCAAAGGTCACATTATCCTTTTTCTATTGAGAGAGAAGAAGGTAGTGGGTGGATTTTTCCTAATTGTACAATGGTATATTCTCAAGGAGAAGACCTGTAGTGGATAAAACTACTACACTTTTCTTTTCTCTACCACATTATTCTTCTTAATGATATACTCATGGTGAATACTGTGAACTCTCACCATGGTTTGGGTAATTCTCACAAAGTAATTTTGTCTATCCATTGTTATTTAGTCTATATATTTACAGAGTAACTATGGCCTTTAATGTTACTATTCTACCACCCTGCCAATGTCCTGACTGCTATAATTTCATGTTGTATTAGCAAGAGATATTTCAAGTATAATATGTAAAGTAATTGTTATTTATTTCAGCCATGATCTCTCATCATATTCAGGAAATATCACCAGAGCCTGGCTTAGAACATTTATTGAAGAAAGTGATAAAGAGAAGATATGGATATTGTAACCTCGACTATTTACAACAACAAAAAAATGGAGACTATGTAGGTAAGAGTGAAGGTCAGAAATCATATTATAAAGGACAAGACAAATTAGTACTGACTATGCATAATGAAAATTTTACCATCAACAGACCTCAAGAACATTTAACAGCTCAGAAAAATATTCAATGCATAACTGAAGGACAAGTTTCTAAAAGAGATCATTTTGAAAGTTTCTTTACAAACTGTCCATTATTCTGCAATGAACAAAAAGTTCCTTCTTGTTCCCAAACATACACTTTTAATGATTGTGGGAAGGCCCCAATGTACTCATTACTGCTTAATCAAAATTCAGATATAGATTACTGGAAAGTGTGTAACACATGTAATGAAACAAGCAACACCTTCAGCCAGGTCTCTACTCTAAGAAGCCAGTGTACTTACATTGGAGAAAACAATTACAAATGTAGCAAAAAACAGAAGAACTCCAGCTCTGGTTGCAATATGAGAGAACATCAATGTGGCCATTGTGCACAGAACTCTTACAGAGATGATGAATGTGGAAACGCCTTTCCTCAGTGCTCAAAGCTGATGATCCATCCAAGTACTCAGGGCCAAGAGGTGCCTTGCAAATGTGAGGAATGTGAGAGAGCTTCTAACCCAACGGCTAGCCTTCCTCAATACAGTGGAGCTTATCCTGGAAGGGAGCCCCCTAAATTTAAGGAATGTGTCCAAACATGGAGTTGCTCACCCCTTTCTAAACACAAGTACCATAGCAGTGATCAACACTGCAAATTTAAAGAATGTGGCAAAACTTTTAATCTAGGACCTCCCCCTGTTAAACACCACAGCACTCATAGTGGAGAGAAACCCTACAAATGTGAAGAATGTGGCAAATCCTTTAATAATTGCTCAACCCTTTCTAAACACCTGAGATGGCATAGCAATGAGGAAACCTACAAATGTAAGGAATGTGAAAAAGTTTTTAAGAATTTTTTAGTCCTAACTCAACACCAAAGTCTTCATACAGGAGAGAAGCCCCACAGATGTGAACAATGTGGGAAATGTTTTACTCAAAAAGTATATCTTACTAAACACCAGAGAATTCATGCAGGAGAGAAGCCCTATAAATGTCAGGAATGTAACAAAGCTTTTAAGGATCATTCAACCTTTACCAAACACCAGAGAATTCATACAGGAGAGAAGCCCTACAAATGTGAGACATGTGGCAAAGCTTTTACTTTCGGATCAAGCCTTATTAAACATCAGAGACTTCATACTGGAAAGCATCCCTACAAATGTGAAGAATGTGGGAAAGTTTTAACAAAAAGAGGATACCTTTCTGAACACCAGAGACTTCATACTGGAGAGAAGCCCTACAAATGTGAAGAATGTGGGAAAAGTTTTACTCAAAGACCACATCTTACTCAACACCAGAAAATTCACACTGGAGAGAAGCCCTACAAATGTAATGAATGTGGGAAAGGTTTTCCTCAGAGTTCAGGCCTTACTCAACACCAAAGAATTCATGAAGGAGAGAAACTCTACAAATGTAATGAGTGTGGAAAAGGTTTTACTCAAAGCTCACACCGTACTCAACACCAGAGAATTCATGCAGGAGAGAAGCCCTATAAATGTAATGAGTGTGGGAAAGCTTTTAATCTAAGAGCATACCTTACTCAACACCAGAGAATTCATACCGGAGAGAAGCCCTATAAATGTAGTGATTGTGGGAAAAGTTTTACTCAAAGCTCACAACTTACTCAACACCAGAGAATTCATGCAGGAGAGAAACCCTATAAATGTGAAGAATGTGGCAAAGGTTTTAATCAAAGAGCATACTTTACACAACACCAGAGAATCCATACTGGAGAGATGCCCTACAAATGTGAAGAATGTGGAAAAAGTTTTACTCAAAAAACATGCCTTACTCGACACCAGAGAATTCATGCAGGAGAGAAGCCCTACAAATGTAAAGAGTGTGGCAAAGGTTTTACTCAAAGCTCACACCATACTCAACACCAGAGAATTCATGCAGGTGAGAAACCCTACAAATGTGAAGAATGTGGGAAAGGTTTTACTCAAAAACCACATCTTACTCAACACCAGAAAATTCATACTGGAGAGAAGCCCTTCAAATGTAATGAATGTGGGAAAAGTTTTACTCAAAGCTCAAACCTTACTCAACATCAGAGAATTCATGCTGGAGAGAAGCCCTACGCATGTGAAGAATGTGGAAAAATTTTTACTCAAAGACCACACCTTACTGAACATCAGAAAATTCATACTAGAGAGAAGTCCTGCAAATGTTAATATTTTGCTAAAGACTTTAAAAATGGTTCAACTCTTATTATACACTACATGAATAATAGGAGAGTGAAATTATACAAAGACCCAAATGTGACACTCTGTCTATAGTTGTTAATTCCTTACTCACTGAAGCACTGAGTAATGGGGAGAGATAATACAAGTGTAAAAACTGTTGCAGACCTCAGCAATTTCTCAAACATTGCTTATCACTGGAGAATTCATAATGCATAGAAACCCTAAACAATTTAAATACCATGTCCAAGTCTTTTCTCAAATTTCAAACATTCTTTAACATTAGAAACCTGATATCTATAGAAAATGTAGAAAGACATTTGCCTGAAATAAAATGCCTTATATTTAGATATAAGGCCAATTGATAACAGCAAAATATCTATACTGAATAAATCCCTTGAAAAATATTTTAAAATATGGCAAAGCCCTTATCTGTACCTCATAACTTGAAGTGAGAAGAAAATGAGGAATTGCCTTTAACTTTAAAAAAAATGTTTTTAGTAGTAGATGAAGACAACATCTTTATTTTTATTTATTCATTTTTATGTGGTAC